AGTTTTTGTCTTCCCATGTGAATCACTCCGATATTTTAATTTCACTTTCATTTAATTAATTAATTAATTAATGCTAATTAAAATCCTCTTTCTTAGCTGACGATTGCACTTTATTAAACTAATCCAAAATGGGGTGCCTCTAATCCTCATTCTTAACTTTGTCTGTGACAATACAATCAATCCATACGCATGCTAATTACTTGCCTAAGCATCCCACGTCAGCTGTCCACCGGCAACCTCACCGGTCATATTCATCTTGTCCGTCAAGATTGTTTACGTGGACGGCTTGATTACTCTAACAACTGTATGTTGTCATTAGTAGGTGTATAAACAAACCAAACTCAAACCTGCCAAACTCGAGGTTAGAGTTGATATAATTTAAGTCGGTTTAAAATTCGACAAATTTTAAAATTTTACGCTTAATGAAAGCTTAAATTTAGCTCGAGTTCGATTTGAAATTCAATTTCAACTAAAAAAATTTCGATAATCGAATAAATTTAAAATAAATATTATATACGTGGCATGTATAAAAGCTAAATACTCGAGATAATGACATTCATTTTGTTTTTTCCGTCGAGATTGTCTACATGGACGGCTTGGATTACTGTAACAACTATATTCTGTCATTAGTTACCTTATTCTAATCCCCTTTGAGCATGATCAAAGTAGAGGTCCATACATCCTTTCAATAAGCTACATATTGACTTTTTTTCTATTTTGACTTTTGGAAATTTGGGTGCGTGGATGTTTGATTTTGATCTGATCTTGATTTTTTTTAAGAAGAAGAAAAATGTAAATTATATTAAAAAAAGTGAATTCTATTGCCGCTTGTAATAGAAAACTATTGATGAAACGTGGTTGTCTCGTTAGATCAGTGTGCTCATATGTTTGCAACGACAGTTGTTTCTATGTCTGATTAGATGAGATTGAATTGTCCCACCATATTTATGATGTTTTGCACTCCAATATTAATAATATATAAGCATTCCCGTTTAAAAAAAAAAAAACTATTGGCTAAATATATGGAAGATAATTTTGACATTGGTAAAAAATGAATTAGATTGAGTTTTGCAAGACTCCTAAAAGATTGGGGGTTGACGGGTTGGGTTGTGGGGCTCTTGTTAGTGATTACCAACCACAGTGCCTATATTGCATAGGCTTAGCAATTGGAAAGCTTGGACCATACAAAAGTGATACAATTTTTGTATAATGTTATCAACTAAGGAAGTTGCTGCCCAGAGTAGTGCAAAACCACTTTCACAAGATGGTGATCCACACCTCCACAACATGATTGACACCAAATAATAATAATAATAATAATAATAATAAATTGACTTGGTGCATAATTTTATTTTTCATCTTATTAATTAGGGTCAAATCATTTAAACTCAACACTTACAAACAAGTTTCATATATATATATATATATATTCGGAATTACTAGTTGTTTTAATAGTTATTCTATTCGCTGATAATTGATAATTATTAGCTTTTTGTTGATATATGTATATATAGCGGTTTAAATTAAAAATGTTCGATAAAAATGCTTGTTTAATTAGCTATTTAACTTTAAATAATAAAAAATGACATTAATTGTTTAATTAGTTAAATTCGAAGGAAAAAATAATTTTAAAAAAATTAATTAAAAATTAAACACTAAACATTAAACACTAAAGGTTAGAGTGTTTTTTCGTATGATAAAAATCTCTTTCAATCTCTAAAAGCTAATATAAAAATTACGGTATGGAGTTTTGACTTAGTTAAAATACTCAAAAACTGTTATAAATAGAATATGAAGGTATTTTAATTTCAATGAATATATATATATATAATTGGGAAGTCCTTAAAAATCTTTTTTGGCCTTTCATTGGGGGATTATTTAGAGATCCCAATAAATCCCACTTTAAGTGCAATTCAAGTTCAAAAAACCATAGTCATCCATTCACACCTTTTATTATTATTATTATTATTATTATTTAAATTTTATTTTCTTATGTCACTTTGAAATAAATTGTTTAAAGAAGCTTCTTTTTAATCATTAGTTGAGGCCTTTGGGATTATAAAGATAACAAAAACTAATTAAGATCCATGTTATGGCTTAAGGTCAGTTTTTTCATGCAAAATTGAGCATTATTTATGGCTTTTGTCAAGCAAATTGTTTTCAAATATGATATATCAAGGAATTTGAAATTTCATGTTTTGTATGGAAAAAAATTTTTCATTTTTTTACATTTTTACTATTATGAATAAATTCAGTTTTACTTGCAAAATTTAACATGAAGATTGCATTGTTTTTGATAATCCAAATATTTAATTGTAAATATTTTTCGTTGAGAGAATAAAATAAAAATAACCCACAAAAGAATCATATTTTTTTAGTACCAAAAGAATCATATATTGGTGTATAGATCAGCGGTAAATGCATATATAATCTAATAATAGATATAGATTCGAATCTCCTCTCTTAATACACATCTTAATATATATATATGTCTAATGACTAAAAAAATCTAAACTTTGATCATTTTAACAATTTTAGCTAATTCTTTTAATAATTATACCTTACAAATTTACCGTCAGCAAGTGACATATTATGACGAGGGTCTCACTAACAACCAAATCAGTATAGTAATAACGGTTAGTGGATGGAAGCCACAATTGTTAAGAAAAAATTACTTTGAGGTATCAATTGTAGCAATTAAAAGAATTCGTGGATGAATGAACTCTGAATTTTGGCCTTTTTAATAATTATGATATATATATATATATATGGTGTGAGATTCTCCTATATAGCACAAACGCACAAACACATAATAGTGGATGAATGAACGTGCACTGTTAGATGTATGGATTCCACTATTCAATAGGGTACTAAAATTCATTCATCATTCATTTGCTTGTAATATTCACATATACTTTGCTTTGGCTTAAAAAGTAATAAAATGGCAATTTCTACACAAGATTTACCCTCGTTTGGAATAAATGGATTCTACAATCAATAAGAAAATTAAATATTTAAATAGAAAATTTTATGGATTTAAATAGAAAATTTTATAATGGAATTTCTAAATGAATTTTTCAATTTTAAATAATTTTATGATAAAACTCTTCATCAAGTCTTCTAAAATTATTATGCTAAATTATTTTAGGAATAAAAGCAAATCGATTTTTAATTTTAAATTTATTTTAAATATAAAAAATTTACTTACAAATGAACTCTATTTAAAATTCACTTTATAAATAAATTCCACATTTTGAGTTCATCCATGACAACGGAGCGGTTATACTTGTTACCCCATGTGTATTTCTTAAGACGAAAAAAGGGAAGTCTATATGAATACATGGATTCACAAATGTAGAATTTATACTTGCGAGCCTATAAGTTGAGAAGGCCTTCCACAAATCCATTAGTATTTGACCCAAACTGTTATAAAGCCTTCCACATCTTACACTTTTGACTCCCACTGGGCCTTGAAAGTTGAAAAGGCTTCCACCTATTGCCCATTTCAAATTTTTTTCTTTTTTTTTTTTTTTCCACTTAACAAATATCAGAAATTAGATCTCAAAATTAAAGAAAATGTTAAAAAGGTTTATAAATTAATATATACCAAAAGTAACCTTATATAGTTTATATGATTTAACCACCGCGATGACAATCCACGGTGACAATTGGCTGACCAACGATAATAATTGCCGACCCATAGTAGCAATAATAAATATAATATCATACACATACATATATAGTATATACAAGGTATACACAGTGTGTATATATGTAGAACCAATTAGCACGTTAAATCAACTAAGTAAACGTGTATATATGTATATTTACTACATCAATATTAATGTAAGCAGAATCGAAAATCCTACCTTATCTCTTTAAAACATAGACAATATTTATAATAGTGATAGTTTTCCGGCAAGCATTAAGTCATTGATAAGCTTATATAAAAATGAAATAAAAAAAGGTAATCAAATAAATAAATAAAGAAGAAGAGCATAAATGAAACCACATAAATGAAAGCATAATGAAAACGAAAACGAAATCAAATATTGATAAAAAGAAAAGAAGAAGAAGAAGAACATAAATGAAACACAGAAATAGAAATGGAATCAAACCCAGAGAAGCGATCACCTGCAATGACAGAGTTCACGCCTGTCATAAACAAAAAGAAGAAGAAAAAACGAAAAAGAACATAATGTGCAATAGGTTAAAAGGGTAATTAGATAAATGAATAATAAAATTGACATTAATTTAATAGTTTAGGTCAAACTAATATTTTTTTAAATAAAGTTTCAAAATCTGACATATACTATATATATATATTGAAGATGGTTAAAGATCAACTTTATTAATTTACTAATGTCAATTTTTTTATTCACTATATTAATAATTATTTGATTTGATTGATCTTCTTACAAAAATTTCAACAAAGGAAAGTGTGAGATTAAAATATCTGATCTATAAAATGAAATAACCCCATTTATTTTTTTCAAAAGAATTTTAATTTAATTTGTGAATAAAAGTTTTGTAAAGAATGTTTTTATTGGATAAAATAAATTTTTAATGAAATAAGATACAGAACCTCTAGACCTAGAACAACAACGATCGGAAAGGAAACCATGATTAAACCACTTGAAAACCAAAAAAGATCAAATCAAGCCAGCACCTCGAACAAACCACCAAACCGAACCGAGTCATCCGAATCAAACCAGCATAACAAAATTTTAAGAAGGAAATCCTTAAATCGAACCAAGAAGACACCTCTTCCTCTTTGCGCGATCTGAGTTCGCTCTCTCAACCTCCATCAGTCTCTTTCCTTCTCCATTTCCGGCGGAACAAAGGCCATAAACTGGCACTTGAAGCTACAGAAATAACTCTCACCACCTGCCCTTCCTTTCCTTGACCTTCGACTTCTTTTTGTTGGTTGAGATCGCGAAACGAGAAAGAGCAAGGGATAGGGTATATATATATGAGTAAATATTTTGCATTGATTTAAGTTCCTCCGTTCTCTTCCTATAGATTGTTTGGGTATTGTCTACTACCGGAAATCAAAGTCAGAGTTAGTAACTTGCTTCTTTCTTCAGCCACTGTGAGTAGTACTAAGTATTATTTACTCCTAAATCATGCAAATCCACTTGCATTCCCATAATTGATCTTAACATCGTAATGGCATTAAACATATTATTCTTTTAGTGTGAATGATGTGTTTGTTGATTTAAGCAAAGTGCTCTTTTATATTTTATGCTTTTATATGATTCATTGTATTGGTTATTATCTGCAATTGCTTATTCTGATTGAATTGAACGTGAAATGAAACTTGCATTTACTAAATGTGTAAATGTTTTGATACCTAGATTGTTGTCACTTGTGGTTACTTGCAAACTTGTGATGTGATTGTCAATGTTTGATCATGTAACTGTTGTGGTTTATTGCAATGTTTGTTTTGACTTATGGATGTGTATATGGATGAATGTTGTGTGCTGTGGATATGAGATGTAGAAAAATGGAAATATAAAAATAAAAGCCATGTGGGTTATGGTATCTTGGCCATATGGGGGATCGGCTCCTCGGCTCGTATTTTGGGGATGAGCTCCTTGGTCTATATATGGGGGATGGACTCCTCTTGCCAAGTAGAGGGATGGGCTCCTCTATCGTGAAAACGTGAATAACGGATTTGTGAATTGACATAGATGTGATGTGTAATCCATTTATTGTCATGTGGAATGTTATGATTTTGATGATGTAACTATGTGGGTATATCTATTAGATGTGAATCTACTCCAAGGACCACACCAACATGATCATTTTTGTCTTTTGTATAAATTTGTAATGGACTAATATATAGCATTGTGTGACTGAAGCATATGACATTCGAGAGACTAGACAATTCATTTGCATGACCATGTGTGGTGTTTATAATACTTACTACTATTCAGTGAGCTGTGGCACTCATGCCGGCTCATTTAGTTTTTCCAGGTTGTTAGGTCCCCCTTTCAACTACTATTGTCTTCTCTGAAGCAGCTAGCCTTGTTCTTATGGAGGACTCTGCTTGTCTATGCATAGTTAGAGTTTCTCAATTACTGTAAAGTTCTAGAATTACAAAGTAAACATAAAATTTAAATTTCTAATATTAGAGATGTTCCATGTCTTTGGTTATGTTTGTCAATATTTATATTCATACATATATTTTATAAACAAGACTTTTTAAAGTTTATGGATCAATTATTGGGGCCAAATAATATTGGGCTTAGAAGTAGTTATGGTCAAGAAAGACTTACTACGGGTTTCGGGGGTCTTACACTTACCCAAGCCCTATTGCTTGTCCGGCCAAGGAGACAGGTTGTGACAAAGACAGTATGAGAGCATAAGTTAGGGCCTTAATCAAGTAATTGCGGAACATAGGATTCCTTCCTAGTGAGTAGTGTCCTTATGTAGGTAATTAAGCCTATAATCTTATAGGAAGACCTATTTGTGAGCATAGACTGTGGATGCCTTGGTAAAATAGAAAAATGGTAATGAAGTGTTGAGCATGATGGTGGAAGATTTTAAGCAACACTAAGTTTTGTGATTAGGTGATGATGTTGGATTTAGAAATGATGTTAAGGCAGGTGCACGAAATTGTTGGATTATCGAGAGAACAAGATTATTATGTAGTAAAGATAAAGGGATATTCCATTTGTATTAGAAACAAATCAGAATTCAGAAAAGAATGGTGAGTGATAATTCCTTTGAATATTTCACATAAGGGGGAACATATGGTAAGTTAAATGTTTCCTAAAGTAGAAAGGAGCCTAATTATTAGAAACAGTATGGAATAAGTTAGAATCGGTAGGGTATTAAGAAAATCTTTAGCTAGGAAATTGAAGTCATAGTACCACAGAAGTGGTAAACTTATGTTTCGAGACTAATGAAGGTCAGTAAGAAGTAAGGTGAGGTGTGATGGGGTCACGAAAGGGCTAACTTTTCGGTAAGGTGAGAATATTACCTATAAGAAGAGAAAGGTTTAAACTATATCATAATAAGGTTGAAAAGAATATTCTTTCTGCCTTGGGAATGAGTCAGAGAGTAGGAGGAAATATCGAGCATAGATCCTTAGACTATTGCATATATTAGACATAAGCCATAAATTAAAGCTTCCTAAAGAAGAGAAGAAACATAAATTATTAAGGAATACTGCAGAATTCTTGTTAAAGGGATATGTAAAGAGTAAATGAAAGTTTAAGATTGATATATTATTTTTTACTCAATTTTCCCAATCAATTAACATATATTTTTCTTCAACTTTTCCATCCAGTAAATAAAATTATTTTATTGTGTAGGGATTTTTTTTTATCTCAAACGGTTTGAGTGTTGATAGAATTTACAATCCTCCTTTAAATAAATAAAAAAAAAAAGAAAATTTTCATGTATCATATAATTTTATAGAAATTATTGGTATATAACAATTTTTCTTATTTTAATAGACTGTATATTAAAAAATCCTCTCCTTCCTAAGAACGGCATCGTTAACTTCTTCCTTCTATCATGTCCCACCTTGCTCAGAATTTTCTGGTCCGATCAAGATGTGCTTGGAGAAGAAGGGAGATAATGTATCACCAAGGTCAAGCCTTGGATTGACTCGAATTGCGGCTCCTTACTGGCTGGCCTCCAGTCTCTGCTTCGAACCGACCTCATTGATCGTCTTTTTAGGTTGCTCAATCAGGTACTTTACTACTGCTATTGTAACTATGGTTTGCATGAGTTTTTTTGAGGTCTCAGAAAAAACCGATGCGATTGGAGATATAACTTGTTTTTGGGAGCTAAAATCCATGTAATTTATGCTCTTTATGTGCAAATGTTTTGAAATACGACCAAAAGCTGTACTTTGTTGACAGAGTGCTTTTAATTCTATATTCTAGAGCTAATTCATTGCTTAGGAACAAGACACTCACTTTGCAGTGCTATTAATGCACTTGTTGGGTGTTTAATAACTTATCTTAGTGATGGGCATTTGGCTTGGTTTTGGTCTCCCCTATGGGATAAATGTACGTGTGGGTAGATAGTTTGAAATAATGATTGAATTAGGAGGAGCTTCTCCAGTACTAGTGGATGAGAATGCTGAGGGCTAAGCGGCTAAGGTTATTACATGCCAAATGGTGAATATATGTTTTAATAGACTGTTATGTTAAAAAAATCGTCTTCTTCCCAAGAACAACATCATTTTGTTAGCTTCTTATTCCTATCCTGCCCTACCCAGAATTTTCTAGTTCGATTGAGATGTGTTTGGAGAAGTAGGGAGATAATGGCTAGAGCTTGGCTCAACAGATTCCTGGAAGCTAAAGCTGTCAGTATCATCAAGGTCGAGGTTTAGATTGACTCAAATCGCGGCTCCTTACCGGCTGACCTCTAGTCTCTGCCTCAAACCAACCTCATTGATTGCCTCCTCAAGTGCTCAATCAGGTACTTTACTGCTATTGTCACCATGGTTTGCATGAGTTTCTTTGAGGTTTTAGGAAAAACTGATGCATTGGAGATATAACTTGTTTTTGAGAGCTAAAATCCATGTAATTTGTGCTCTTTACGCGCAAGTATTTGGAAATTCAATCAAGAAATGTAATTTTGTTGACAGACAGAGTGCTTTTAATTCTACATTCAAAAGCTAATTCTCTGCAAATCCGCAAGAATTGCTTAGGTGAAAGGAAATCTCTTTGTGAAGCTATTAACAGTGATGCAGTACGCTTGTTGATTATTTGATTATGTAAGACGCAGCTACCCTTAGTTTGGAAGCAATTTGAATTCTTCAATAACGTACCTTAATGATGGGCATTTGCATTGGTTTTGGTCACCCTTATGTGATAAATGTATATGTGGTTAGATGATCTACAATAACAATTAAAGTGCTATGTTGTCAAAGTAAACTTTTGTATGTGCAAAATTCTCAACATTCCATTGATGCACAAGCTTCCATTAATGCAAAGAAACTTCGCATTGTTAACATTTTTCTATATGCTTAAGCTTAGAGCTTGATTTTTTTTTTTTTTTTTTTTTCAATTGATGTGGCATTGTGCATTGGTTCTTGGTCACCCTTTATGTTGATAATGTATTGTGGTTAGATGATCTACAATAACAATTAAAAGTGCTATGTTTCGTTCCAAAGGGTAAACGGTTGTATGTGCAAAATTCTCATAGTCATCCCATTGATGCACAAGTTCCATTAATGCAAAGGAAACTTCGCATTGTTAACATTTTTCATATATGCTTGAAGACTTAAGAGGCTTTGAGGTTTTTTTTTTTTTTTTTTTTTTTTTCAATCTGAAAGTTCTCTGGCAATGAAGCTAGATTTCTTTCTCTGGATACTACGGGACCATAACATTAGTTTTGCATTGTGTTTTACATGTTTTTACAGCATCCTCTTGAATGACAATTTTTATAAGATTGAAAATTTCAGATATCCTAAGCATGTATTATGAAATATCACTCAAATTATTTAACAATGTATTGGCTTCTTCTACATATTTTTGCCAGAAATCGTTGTTTCCCATTTTCTAGAGCGACGAGCCTTTTGCATTTACTGTGAATATTTTCTTTGTAGTTGCTATGTTAAGGGCAAGCTTATATAAATTTAAGGAAAAAGAACATATTATTCGAATCAATAATTATTAACCTTCAAATAAATAAGAAACACGTAAAAGTGCAAAAACAAATCTTCGGCTTTAAATATTACTCTACTTGCTTCATTTACAGCATTTTCACTAGTGCATTATCGTATCTTTAATTAACATAATTGATAAGGGACTCTTGCAAGTACTCTTGCAAGAGACTGGACCCCTAACTTCGCTCTAAAAGCTAGCTCGTAGAGGAAGGACTGAACCCAGCCTTATATACTAGCCCAGGATGTACTCCGCGGGCGATGTGGGACGCATCAGCCGGCTTATATATAGCGTGAGCCCAGGATGTACTCGGCGGGGCGATGGTGGGACGCACATCCCCACCTCCATAAGACCCGACTGCCTCAGTCCGGCGTTCTAACGAATCCCATGAGACACTGACCCTACGGAGTGCTAGAGGCTCTGATTACCAAAATGATAAGGGGCCTCTTTGGCAAGTACTCTTACAATGAGACTAGACCTAACTTCGCTCCAAAAGCTAGCTTGTAGAGGGTAAGAAACTGAGCCCAGCCTTTATGTTACTAGCCAGGAATGTTACTTCCACGGGCGATGTGGGACGCATCAAGTACATTGCTAATTGATAGATATTTTTATGCATATTGATGGGATATATGATCAAGTTCTTGTTATTCCCAAGTCAAACTGTCCCAATGGAAAGGTTTCATGGTGGATTCGTTATCTATTTTACCAAGAGGGACTTGTTCATTTAAATTGATTCTCAATGACGTACTTCTACCTTTTAATTATAGTATTTAATTCATCTCAGATTTTAATTTGGATGAATTTTTGGGTGTTTAACAACCAGGCTTAAATTAAAAGGAAAATGAAAAATAGAAAGTTGGACTATTTTATGTAATTATTATTCTTTAGATGGCTTACAATTAAGCTAGCTCGTAGAGGAAGGACTGAACCCAGCCTTATATACTAGCCCAGGATGTACTCCGCGGGCGATGTGGGACGCATCATCCCCACCTCCATAAGACCCGACTGCCTCAGTCGGCGTTCTAACGAATCCCATGAGACACTGACCCTACGGAGTCAGAGCTCTGATACCAAATGATAAGGGGCTCTTGCAAGTACTCTTACAAGAGACTAGACCCCTAACTTCGCTCCAAAAGCTAGCTTGTAGAGGAAGAACTGAGCCCAGCCTTATGTACTAGCCCAGGATGTACTCCACGGGCGATGTGGGACGCATCAATAATGCTAATGATGATATTTTTATGCATTGATGGATATATGAATCATTTTATCCCAAGTCAACTGTCCCAATGGAAGGTTTCATGTGGATGTTATCTATGTTTACAAGAGGGACTTTTCATAAATTATTCTCAATGAGTTATTCACCCTTAATTATAGTATTAATCATCTCAGATTAATTTGGGATGAATTTTTGGGTGTTAACAACAGTTAAATTAAAAGGAAAATGAAAAATAAGAAAGTTGACTATTTTATGTAATTATTATCTTTGAGATTGGCTTTAAATTCACTCGAAATGAAAATTTCAGAGTCAAGGTTGCCATTTTTATTGAGGTTTGCTCATTTAATCATTATTATGATTATTATTATTATTTATTTTTTACTGTCTATGTACAAATGCTAATTCAGATGTAGTTGAATTATGGATGACTAGTAAGCTTTCCTTTGCTAGCTTGACAAGGATAATATAAAAGCTATTATATTTAGTATAGGTTATGACTGATATTAAAAATTGTCATTTCCATGTTTGATTGAGATGTAATGAAAGGCAGACAGAAACATGTAATTTGGAGGCTGGCTTGGCTATTTTGGTTTTAATTGCTGATTAATTGTGGTTACCACTGAGGGCTTTATTGCATATTGTTTTCTTTGCTTGTTTACAGGGGGTTAATGTCCATGTTCTTAGGAGCGATTCTGCAGAAATTTTAGCAGAATATAAGTAATTAGAATGAGTCTGAATATGACCTAGTAGATTTAGAAAATTGAATCACATTTAAATTATAATTGTAAAATCTCTGTAATTAGTTTGTATTGATATGTATTAAAATGAATTTTCCTTGTTGAGAGCCTAGGTATGGGTTAAATCTTGTGTTATTGATTTAAAATCTGTGTAGATTTTGGCTGTATAGTCTTAGTTTCTGATGAAATTTTACCAAATTTTCTAGACTTTATAGAAATTGAGTTTAAGGATTAATTTATTTTTGTTATCTTCTGAATCTTAAAAGTTATTTCGGTAGATGAATTACTAGTTTTTCTTACTACTGGCTTTGGTAGCTCTATGCTTACCTATGCGGTGCTGGTGTGATGTGCTCTCAGGTTCAGATAGTAACAATAATATTAAGAATAAATTTCTTATTAAAAATATTATTTGTTTATTTTATTAATTTCCAATGCAACTCCTAAAAATGGAAATAGTCTAGTACTCTATAAATAATATTTTTACTAGTTAATTCAGTGACTATAGTTAGAGGTTTCTGGGTGAAATTTCTTTAGCTCGCTATTCCAAAGAGATTGGAACCTCAGCTTCTTAATGCTCTCTCTCTCTTTTCGAGAAGGTCTTCATCCAGCCTTTTCCATTTCAGAAGAGTGAGGCAAATTTCTCTTCTACTGATCAAGTATATCATATTAAAGTTGTCATTGATTAAGAAAGAGCCTTGGTTGATTAGGCTGGATAGTGGATAGGTAGGTTGACTCTCTGTGTGAGATTATAAGTGCAAGAGCTTTTGATTTGATGTTAATTAATTGAAATAGCCTGGTGTTTGAATGTAATGAACATTGAGAAATAATGGTATATATCTACATGTAATTATTGCTGACTACTACCTGTTTGTTGATTTGTCTCACTGAATTTCCCCTAACATTCAATATGATTCTGATCATATATGCTTAGGATTAATTTCTCTTTGATTTTTCACTATTCATTTTTACTCTTTATCTATTTATATTGCAATTTCAGATGGATATTGATTCTTTAGCTTTAATTTTTTAAATCCTTGCAATTAAGCTCATAATTCTTGATGGCTATGGGAATATCCAAGCTGCTGTGTTGTTCACTGTAGATGATATCAAGGGTAATATATGTACCTAATTATTTCGATTCTATTTTATAGGGTTTTTTTCCCTTTTTTTTCAAGCTTCTGAGCCTAAAAGAATTCCAGATTGAATTTATCTATGTAAAAAATCCCGACAGGCTTAAACTGTATTTGATGGATTCTTTTTCATCGCCTGGATTGTTGCTAGTTAGTATATGTCCTTAGTGGACAAAAACCATTGTTTTGCTGAACTGGGTGATAAATTATGTTTAATTTGCATTGCATTTTCAGCCCTAAGTAATTTGCACTAGGCTGTTGTACCTTGAACTTCAAGTATTTTTCAGTCTATACCGCTTTGTTTTTTAAGAAATTGAAGGGACAAGGACATTGTATTCTGTTTTCGCTACTTGACTGTGGTTTTAAGGTGTAGAGTAGCAGATTACTCTTTAAAGCATAGAAATTAATCTATGATTAATTAATTATTGTATTTTGAATTAATTTCAGTGGTTGAGCTTCCTATTATAAAATTCATCTCATCTTTGAAATGAATGGGTGTTAAACATAACATCGTTGGCCTCGGTATAAGTATATGGTTGCTTATAGTTATTTATGACCAGGATTGAGTTTTTTGTTTTCTCATGCTAGAGTTTGTATCTTGAATCATTAATATGTTATTGCATATGCTGTGCATGTACGGTAGTTATGAATCATCCCAAAACTACCTTATACTGGCTGTCTGGGCTTGCCTGCATGAATTCTGTTCTATGACTTTCTAAAGGATGTGTATTTAACTTTTTATTTTTATTTTTTTACCTTTTTGAATTCTATTTTTCATATTCCATCAAGTCAGATATAATTAGAATAAAACTAACCAGGTGAATAGAAGTCGTTTGTTCGTTGCCTGAGCTAAACTCTGTCAATTATTTTTTCAGGGGCACTATTTGGCATAATATTTGAATGGCACTACTTTTGACAACAAAAGCATTGTTGCATAAGCACATTATCAGGAGCTATTTGCATGGATTTGTGATGGCTTATGGTATTCAGAAGACTGCCTTAATTTCATATTGTGCAAGCAAATTTTTAGTTGAGGAGAGTTTGAGAATGTTTCCAGTCGTAGATGTATTCTGTAGTCAACGTCAGTTTGTGAATTTTCATCCTTTTTCTACTGGCACTCAGTCTGAAAGGATATCTTGGGGAGTTTCCTCACGTGCTCTTCTTTTGAGAAAGCTTGAAGTTTCTTTGGAACATCACCAAGTAGACGAAGCGTGGTTGACTTTTAATGACTTCAAAAGCTTGTATGGTTTTCCTACAAGTTCTTTGGTGAATAGGTTGATCACTGAACTGTGCTACTCGTCTGACCCTCACTGGCTACAAAAAGCATATAATTTAGTCTTTGGAATTTTGAAAGAGAAATCTGAATTATTTCAGACTGAAATCTTAACAACTCTTTCACTGTGCTTAGCAAGAGCACAGATGCCTATTCCTGCCTCTATGATCCTAAGACTGATGCTAGAGAAAGAGAATATGCCCTCTTTAAGTGTATTTCAGATTATTCTTTTGCACATGGTGAAGTCAAAGATTGGGACATATCTTGCATCCAATATCTTGATTCAAGTTTGTGATTGCTTATTGTGTTTAAGGAAAAATAAAATTGATCATGCAAAGGTGATAAGACCTAATACCATGATCTTCAACCTAGTACTGGATGCTTGTTTTAGATTTAGGTCATCTCTAAAAGGCCAAGAGATACTGGAGTGGATGGCACAAACTGGTGTTGTTGCTGATGCACAATCAATCATCATTATTGCCCAGATCTATGAAACAAATGGTCTACGGGATGAGATAAAGAAATTTAAAGATCATATTGATCGAGTATCGTCACCTTTTGCTTGTTACTACCGGCAGTTCTATGACTGCTTGTTGAACTTACACTTCAAGTTTGATGACCTTGATTCTGCCGCTGAACTTCTGTTAGATATGAATAAATTCAGGGTGTCTACTCCTAATAAAAATTCTACGAAGGACATTCAAAAGCCTTACCTAGTTTCTATTGGATCTCAGAATCTGAGGGCTGGGTTAAAGATACAAATTATGCCAGAGCTGCTGCAGAAGGATTCTGTTATAAAACTGGAAGATAAAAAAGAACTTGTAATTTTTGAGAATGGGAAGCTTCTCCTCAGCAATAGGGCCTTAACAAAGCTTATCCTTGGTTACAAGAGACATGGGAGAATGGCTGAGCTTCCAAAGGTGTTAGTGAGCATGCAAAAGGACTTTCAGAAACTGGGAGGATCCAATTTATGTTTTGATGTGATTGATGCATGCATTCGTTTAGGTTGGCTGGAAACTGCTCATGACATTGTGGATGACATGGAAACATCTGGAGTTCCTGTGGGCTTGAATGCATATATGGTACTCTTAAGAGCTTATTATAGTAGGGATATGTCCAGAGAAGCAGAGGGTCTACAAAGGCAAATGAGGAAGGCTGGTATAGTCACAAATATTCCTGGTGAAATTGTTGCTTCCAATGATCTTTCAAAAACAGCAGATAACACATCATCTTCTGTTAGTAAATCAGATCTGGCTGACTTCTTGGTTCAAGAAATGAGAAAGGAGGATGTGGTGATTCCTCCTGTAGTTTATGAGTTGAATTCTTCTATTTACTTCTTTTGCAAAGCCAAAATGATGGTGGATGCTTTGAAGACATATCGAAGAATGCAAGTGGTGGGTATCCAACCCACAGAGCAAACTTTTGCCTATCTGGCATATGGATATTCTTCTCTTGGAAGGTATCGAGATATCACAGTCTTATGGGGAGATATCAAGAGGAACATGAAGAACAAAAGTATGGCTGTGAGCAGGGACCTATATGAAACCTTGCTGATGAACTTCCTTCAAGGTGGTTACTTTGAGAGAGTGATGGAAGTTATTAGTTATATGAAAGAGCATAATATGCACATGGACAAAGAAATGTATAAGAGTGAGTTCTTGAAGCTTCATAAGAATCTATACAAGGGTGTAAAGGCATCAACAGTGAGAAATGAGGTTCAAAGAAAGAGGCTTGAGTTTGTTCAGACATTTAGGAAATGGGTTGGCATTGATTGAAGTTCAATCAGAAGTTTGTAAATACATGATTCATTTGAAAAGCAAGGTTCTTTGACTTGTCAATTCCCAGTTGGAAGATTTGGCATCACTAACGGTGTTCATATGTTTAAATGCCTGACTGACCCATGTTGAATGCAAAATCGAAGCTTAGACTTGTGGGTTTGGACTAATTAATTGTATTTGGGCTGAATTCAATATAAAGAGCCAACTTTTCAGGTTAAATGAATATTCATTAATGATACCACTATTCTAAACCGATTTTGCTTCTAAAGCCTAAAGTCTGTCTGTCATCTCTCCTCACTACCCTAGCTCCACTCTCTTGCAATCTCTTGCTATCATCTCTGTTGATAGAAAGAATTGCTCATAAATTGGCGTGTGAAATCAGGGGTGCTTCAAGATCAAAAGCAAAAATCAAGAATCCAAAGCGAAGATTGCTCTCTAGCTTCAAAAATCAACAATCCAAGCGATTTCCTCTGTTATTATTTTTAAGGTTCGATCTCCTCTTCCTTTAGTGCAAAATGCATATATGCATGCATGTTTGTTGATTGATTGGGTCCAACTAATTTTGTTGTTTTGATGGTAGGAACTATGTAAAGCTTGTGCTCGATCTGATTTATTATTAGGGTCTATAGTCTCTGAGGGTTTATATATTTTGGTATCTGTTTGTTTTAATTATTAGGGTTTGGTTTCTATGGAGTCACAGCTGTGCCTTGTGGTGACTACAATGGATTTAGAACCACACTCTAATTTTCCCCTGTTTTAATCAATTTAATATACACCCAGTAATCCCAATAACATGAACATGCAGTATTATAGTACCCATTAGCGTTTTGTTTTTCTTTGTTGCCACCCTTGATTGTGCATAGCGTAAGTACAAAATATTTAGGGTTCTCTTATTCTGTGTCATCTATGGCTTTACAAGTTATGCACAAAAGTAAACTTCATTGTGTATGGAAAATTTCTTTTCATTTTGTAGCTTTTTATTATTTTTCTGGACATATATAGTATATAGATCAAGGATTCCATCGGTTAATGAAATTTTCAACAAAACTGCCAATTAATATTATTTATTAGGGCAATTACACTTATATATAGTTCGTACTTGCATTTTTTACTAGAGGTTGAGCACATCACATAGCAATGAACTTCCACAGCTCCATTAAGCTCTGCTTGTTTCAGTGTCAGTATCAGCTCCAACTTTAGCTCCTGCATTCAGATAAAACAGGTTCATTATCTAGTTTCCTTTGTCTTGTTTTGTTCTTTTTATTCAATGTGGGTGCCTAATGCTGTCTTTTTTTTGTCTCTATCTTGGTTGGTCCTCTTCTTTGTCTTTGTTGTCTTGGTGATGGGATGTTGGACAAAATTGATAATTTTTGTTTAGCAATATTGCTTATGCTGTTATTGGTTTGTTTTTCTGTCAAATTAGATAATTTTTTGTGACTTGGTAATTGATTTTTTTTTTTTTCCTGATTTGGTGGTATGGTAGCACACTTAATTTAACTTTCAGTTTTGAATCAAAGTAGAAAAATGAGATATTACAAGTTTCTAGTTATATTTTAACACAATGCGCCAAAGTAAAAGACACAGAGCACCTAAGAAAGATGCTCTGTAGCATCTATGGGTTTCATTTTCAAGTCCTACATTCCCGGTAAAACCTTAATTATCGCTAGCAATTTGAGTTTAACAACAATTATTCATTACTAATAATCGAGAAAGGAATTGATTTGATGGGAATCATCCCAGAGGCACAGCTCAAACTATTCTTCCGAACTCGCTGGTATATATCACCTTCTGAAACTGATATTAATGTAATCTTAATTTGATAGTTCTGTCATCTGTGGCTGTTCTCTTGACTATAAGAAAATTTCTTATTGATATTGATAGTGGACTGATGTTACTTTCTGTCCTCTGAGTAACTTCTTATTTTACATTTTGAACTTTCAAAATATGAAATATATATATTAAAAAAAAAAAAGAAAAATTAGAATCACGCCATGTACTTTTTGTTTTTGTATTTACTTTCTTGAAGATTTTAGTAGTTTGTGAAAATTATGGATTAATTCAGTGTTTTTATTATTAATTATGATTGTATGAGGTTAATTAACAGGAGAACTAAAGATGGTAATTGCAACGGAGTTTATTGGCTTTGTTGAGCTCATTTTCTTAAATCTGGAGGTAGAAAAAGATTGCAATTTTTTTTGTTAGCTTTCTGTTGCTCATTTTGCTTGAATGAAATAGCACTTGGTGAGACAACACATTTTCTTTTTTCTGCAGCAATCCAAATTCCTTTGAATTAAATGGGCAGCAGGAAGGACAGCTGCCAACTATTTTAGTTTTTATGACAAGAAATTTAAACTTTTATTATGAGGAGTTGGGCGTTAATTTTTCATTAATTGTAAGATTAATAGACATTTTTAGACTTTCACTTTAGTTAAAATCATTAACAAATTGGATTTTTTAGTGGTTTACTTGCTAATTTTCACTGTTCGACCAATAAACTGGCTTACTGTATAAGTAGTATATATGCTTGCTCTTCCTTGATTTGTAGAGATTGTACTAATTAATGTGCATACCAAAATGATAATGTGCTTACTTCCCTTGCTCTTATTATTTTCATTCAGGTCGGTCGTTCCATCCATGTAGCCTTTATGCCATACTGAAGAGAGTTCAAGGGAAGTTTCATCATTACCAAGTATGCTTCTTATTAATGTTGCCTTCTTCTGTTAAAGAAAGATTAGGGTCACCCCAGTTAGATCAGTTCTAAAAGAAGTGAAGAAAAGCCTTAAAACAACTGGAATAACCAAGCCTGCAATGGTCATGCTAAAAGGCAAATAGGTGACCCTTCGTAAGTGAAACCTGAGTAGCATTTGCTATGGTCTTATCAGCTTGGACTTCAAATCGATTATTTCTTCGCCATACTTATCAGCTTCTTCTCCAATAGTTCTTTATCTACTTCAATTTGTATGATCCTCTGAGCGGTCTTCCTCAAGTTTGGATAGTCTGTCTCTCAGATCACTTCTCTAAGATCACTTCGGAGTTGTTGGAAGGGGCGGGACTGGCTAAACCAAGAATCGGCTGGCTGCCTGGTTCAATAATGAAGTTGGCTCGGTTTTTGAAAGAAGAGAATGGATTTTTTTGAAAAAATCGGATTTTTTTTTTTTTGACAACAATATGTTGCTGATTCAAAGAAAAAGTTTTATTATTTTTATATGTATTTGGTATGGTTTGTGTGTTTGAGGAAATTAATTTGTGTGTTTAGAAGAACTTATTTGAGCTGTCACCGTGGATTGAATAATGTGATTTGAATTTATGAGTGTTGGATCATTATTCGATTTGACCTGTGGTATTATTAGTTAAAATTTTATGTTATTTTATTATATTGGATGGATATTTGATGAGAATGATATATTATATATGTTGACTATTGGGAAAATAATTTCTGTTGCAAGTAATAAATAAATATATAAAAATATTAGAAATTTAAAAATTAAAAAAAAAATATGAAAAGTTTCACACTTGTGAGGAGGAGAAACATTAGAAAAGTACTAAAAGTTACATATATAAAAATATGCAGCTGCTTTTTCTTCTCTTTCTCCCTTGTATATGCTTCTTCTTCGATAAAAAAATAATAAAAAATAATAAAAAAAAAAAACAGTAAGACTCCCTCTGCTTCGGAACATATTAAAGTATCTTGCTTTTACCTTTGTTCGCGCGCTCGCCGCCGCTTCGAGTGTTGGGTTGCTCTTGATATGTGGAGAAATTTTGTCGCTTAGCAAGTAAAACGCGAGTTCTGTTGATTCAGAACAAATAATAATTAATAAGTGTAAGGGTCTATTCGGAACTCTCTGTTTCCATTTATTGGCTTTTGATTTTATTTTACCCTTCCCAGTTCTAAATCAGAGCTCTAATTGATTTTCTTAAATTTATGCGAGTTTATGGGTTTAATGGAGAAAGACTGTAATCTAATTTAGTTTGGTCTTAACATGGAATTAAAAAAAAATTTAAACTTTGAAAAAGTATTTGAAAAGCTTCTGTTATTCTTATTGTTATCTTTAATTTGTTTTTATATGTATAAGCTGAAATTTCACTGAATTTTTTCTTTTATGCGTTCAGTTTCGTGTGTTGCTGTTATTGTCTATATTGTTTTTTAGCTAATGTTCATATAAGGTTTCACTTGAGTCCTAAATGGTAGAAAATGAATATGTATTTGGATTCTGATATCTAATAAGTTCTACCTACTATTGGTTATGAAGTCTTATTCTGTTCAATTCTGCTTTTAAAAAAATGCAATTCGTTGCCTGGTTATAATTGCTTTTATCGGAGTAAGAAGTTGGAATTTGAATTTAAAGCTAGTGCTATTTCTGTACAGTGTTGATTATATGGGCTGAATGTATGCTTTGGAGCTCAAAGTCTGTTCGATGTCAAAAATCGGTTTTCTTTCTGGAATACAGATCTGTTGTTGCAAATTTGGTTAGTTGGTGTAGACAATGTGTTGGGATATAAGCAAATTGTATTTTTGTTTGAACTGGTTTGCTGCTTTTTGATTGAAAATGCTAATGGGCTTCATTTTCTTTTATATGGCTTATTGTTTTGGTTTCGTTTTCTGTATTTATTGGATTTAGCGTAGATTTTGGTTGTGTTGAATCTCTTCAGTTGGAAGTAAATTTATAGTGTTTCTGTTTAGTCTTTTGTTTAAGAAAAAAAGGAGAGAGCAAAAGAACTAAAAATTACAGTTGTCGGTATCAAATTCAAAGATGAGTTATTTTGATTATATGCTGCCTAAACAATATAAATTTCTTGATTCTTTTTCTTGAATTCTACCAAACTTTAAGCTTCTGGATTTTTCCTTCACTGGAACAGCAAGGTCTGTTGGTTATAGTTAGTTTTGTGCACAACGTTATACTGCTTCTATAAATACACTTGCATTTGTAAATTTTTTTCCCTTCCTTTTCTCATAAGAGTCATAACAGTAAATATTTTCATTCTCAGTTTCTTATTATGTTAAGAGAATTTTGCTAGAACTTTTTTCTTTTGTGTTTATGTTTGTGCATGCGTGCGTGCGCACGTTAAGATTTCGATTATAGATGACGATGCTTGTTTTTTTTTTTTTGGGAATTCTGGTGTTGTGATGAGTGCATTTGGATTGAAGGAAAATCAGTGTTTGAGTAATATATATATATATATGTTTACTGTTTTGTTTTTATTGCTGTATACTGGCAGATTTGATTGGAGAGACATGTATGAAATTCAATATAGACACTATGCTAGCATTAGTAATTTCATTGAAAGGATTGGAAGTAGGAAGGAAATATTGATGTTTCAAATTTTGTAGGAGATTTTGCATTGTAGCCTTTTGGTTTGTAATTGAATTAATTTATAAATTCCATTTTAATATTGTTTTTTTGAAGACTGTAATTAGTCAATTCCCAAAATGAATTGCAATCTCTATTTGCAAGCTTTGAATACATTTATTTATCAGTTTTATGCTTTGCATATTACTTAAATATTTAATTTTGTTTTGTTTTTTCCTTTAATATCCTTATCCCTTGATGATATTTAATTTGCTATAAAGTGCACATAAGGTCATTTTGTTTGCTGTAGTTTTTTTTTTTTTTTTTTTTTTTTTTTATATGGGCTTATTTGTTTTGGTTTTCCACTCAGTTTTTTCTGTATTTATTGGATCTCTTAGCTAGACTTTGGTTGTTAGAAAGTCTCTGTCCAGTCTGGGAAGCTAGAATTTTATTAGTGTTTCTGTTTAGTCTTTTGTTTAAAGGAAAAAATACGAAGTAGAGCAAAAGAACTAAGAAATTACACGTTGTCGGCTATCAAAGTTCAAAAGGATGAGTTATTTTGTATTATATATCGCTGACCCCCATTAAACAAATATAAAATTTCTTGATTCTGTCTGCAATTCTACCAACTTAAGCTTCTGGATAATTTTCCCGTTCCTCGCGAGAACAGCCAAAGAGTCTTGTAGGTTATATAATTTAGTCTCTCTGTGCACATACGTCTAAGACATATACTGCTTCTATAAAATACACTATGACTAATTTGTAAATTTTTTCCCTTCCCTTTTCTCATTAAGAGTCATAACAAAAGTAGAGCATTATTTTCATTCTGTCAGTTTGCTTATTTATGTTAATTCGAGAATTTTTGCTAGAACTTTTTTCCTTTTGTGTTTTAATGTTGGTGCTTATGCGTGGGCGTGGCGCACTGTTAGATATTTTCGATTATAGATGGACCGATGGCTTGTTTTTTTTTTCTAGGTAATTCGTTGTTGAAGTGTGAGTTGCATTCCTGGGAGTTGAAGGAAAATCAGTGAGTAACTATCCGGGTATATATATATATGTTTACTGTTTTGTTTTATATTGGCTGGTATCTGCGCAGATGTTGACTTTGCGACAGACATATATGTAAAAATTCAAATATTCGACCATTATGCTAGCATTTAGTAATTTATTGAAAGGAATGGGAAAGTAGGAAATGGAAATATTATGTTTCAATTTGGTAGGGAGATGTTTGCATCTGGTAGCCTTTTGGTGTTTGTAATTGAGATATACATTTCATAAATTCCATTTTAATATTGTTTTCTCTCGTCAAGACTTGTAATTAGGTTCAATTCCCCAAAATGAATTGCCCCCAATCTCTATTTGCCAAAGCTTTCGAATACATTGGTATTTAGCAGTTTTTATGCTCTTGGCATATTAACCTTAGAAGTAATTCTAATTTTGTTTTTGATTGTCTTCCTTTTAAATTATCCTCTTAAGTCCACTTGATGATTATTAATTGGCAAGGCTCAAGTCGCGACATAAGGCTCCATTTTGTTTGCTGTTAGTTTTTTTTTTTTTTTTTTTTTTTTTTGAAGATTAGCACCAAAAGGGCCTTTCATAAAACGTAATAATAGCTCCAGCAAAGTATACGGAGAATATCATCCGCGCCAAAAACTGGAAAGCTAAGAATGGAGGAAATGCGAAAGCTCTAGCTAGAGTATGAGCGGACTAAAAGTGCTTTTTTTTTTTTTTTTTTTTTTTTTGAAGAAGAAACCAAAAGCTTCATTAAACTTAATAATAGTCCAGCAAATATACGGGAATATCATCCCAAACCTGAAAGCAAGAATGAGAAATGGAAGCTCTAGCTAGAGTATGAGCGGCTAAAGTTGCTTGCCTACGAACCCATTTCACAGAATATCAACACGAGAATATAAAATATGTCTACAGTCAGAAATCAAAACTCCTAACTCAGAATAATCAAGAGTAGGATTGAGCAAAGCCTGGACAATTTGTTGACAGTCCGAAATAACACATACATTAGGAGGTAGAAACTCAGTTACAAACAAAAGACATTGACGCAAAGCAAGGGCTTCAATGATCGCCGGCGAACCTTTACCTTCCGAGAATTTAGATACAGCTCTTTGAAATATACCTTCAGCATTTTCAATAACAAACCCGAAGCCCACATAGTCTAGGGTAGAGAAAATCGCACCATCGACTCAGCACAACTAATCGAATGAACCACTAACATTAGCTGCATGTTGGTGACAATGACCCTGTAGGCCTAAAATTGTACCACTTGGATGTTGACGAGAGCACAGCGAACTTGCATTTAGAGTCTCTTCAAATTGAGCACTTTTCGAATCTTCATACCACTTAACTGCTTCAACATGTATTTGAGTAGGAGATAGACTATGGTGCTGCCATAGCTCATTATTACGAGCAGCCCATATTTTCCATGCAATAATTGCACATTTCGATGCTTTTCCAATTCCTTTTAAGGACAAAACCTGCATTAAAAATTCAAAAAAAATAATGTTAGTCTGCAAGCCTTCCAACCCCACATTCCTCCATACCTCCTTCGCCTTAGGACAATGAATAAGCACATGATCCCTACTCTCATCACCAATACACCATAAGTATCTGGCCTCAACCTCAACCCCCCGACGTTTAAGATTATCATGAGTAAGCAATATATTCCTACTTGCCCTCCAACAAAAATCCTTCACCTTTGGAGCTACATCCAACTTCCATAATTTTTGCCAAATTTCACCATTTTGTTTAGTTGGCTCTCTCCCCAAAACCCCAAAACTCACATAGTAACCCGATTTGACCGTATACACTCCCTTCTTATCAAAATGCCACATAAACACATCCTCTCTATCAAAACAACTAATAGGGATACCCACAATCGCTCTAATATCTCTCACCGAAAACAATTCTAAGAGCTTTGCGATATCCCACTTCTTTCGGCTCCCATCAAATAGGTTAGAAACTCTAACATCCGGATCAATGAACTTGTTATGGTCTCAAATTTGGATCTAGTTATGGGTCTTTGAATTAGGGGATCAGGTTTGAGATGAGTATCTTAGAAGGAGTTTTCTTCCTTCTATCAGTGGTGACAGTCCAAATTTGGGAACTCTAGTTTAATTGGGTCTTTGAATGTAGGGGATCACCGGTGTATTGAGATGAGTATTCTGTAGAAGGACGTTTTCTTTCCTTCTATTTCAGTTGGGTTTGACAGCTCTAGAGAGAATCGTGCAATCTCTAGAGTTCATAAGGAGAGAACCTCGTACAATCTCTCGAGTTTTAGGAACTCCCAAAAACATTTCATAAAAATTTTTGCTTACATTTTTCCTGATATCCACATAGCCTTTATATAACAACCTCAAAATCGCCAAAGCTTAAAAAACTAATTTTCATAAAATTTTGCTTACATTTTTCCTGATATCACAACCTTTTAAACAACTAAATGCAAAGCTAAAACTACCCACTACCCACTAATAACTACCCATGACGATAAATAACTTGCTTAACCACCCCACTAATATCCATTAACAAAGAAACTGATAATAACATGATACACACTGAATAACTAAATAAAAACACCGTAAATAGCAGTAAAACTACCCTAAGTTCAGCAGCCCTATAACAGAACTCCACCCCATCATTGGCAAGAAAAGAATTATCTTTCGGAATCCATGGATCACTAGTTGCTCTAATCTTCTTCCCATCACCAATCCTCCACCTCACACCCTTCTTAAGAATAGCATTAGAGGAAACCACACTCTTCCAAATCCAGCTTGGGTAACGACCCTCAGCGGCATTCAAAAAATTCCCCTCCAGGAAATATTTGGCTTTGAAAACTCTATATCAAGAGTGTCAGTATTGGACAAAAATCTCCACGCCTATTTCCCTAATAATGCCATATTAAAACATCTAAAATCACGGAAACCCATTCCTCCCTCTTTTTTACTCCCACACATCCTTTCCCACGCCAGCCAATTAATACCCTTCCTCTCCTCCTTCTTACCTCCCCACCAATATCTATTCATTATCTTATGAAGCTCATCTAGCAGGGTCACAGGTAACAAAAACACACTCATACAATATGATGGAATAGCCTGGCACACTGACTTAATTAACACCTCCCTACCAGCTCGAGACAAAAATTTGTTATTCCACTCATTAATGCATTTCCACATCCTTTCTTTTAAAAAATTGAAAATCTGCCTCTTGCTTCTACCAATAAGAGAAGGTAGTCCCAAATAAGAACCATGCCCCAAGGGTAAATGCACATCAAGCA